GGTATTTATCAAATTAGATAAATACCCAGAAGTGAAATTGCTAGGTCCTTCTTTGTCTCTTTGCATTCTTTATTTTAAAGTCATTTTTGTCTGGTGTAAGTATTGCTACCACAGCTTTTTTATTGGTTCATTTCCAGTTTCCTAAAATACCTTTTTTTATTCTTTTACTTTTAGTCTGTATGTGTCTTTCAATCTGAAGTGAGTTTCTTGTTGACATCATATGTAAGGGTCTTGTTTTTTTATCCGTTTAGCCACCAGATGTCTTTTGATTGGAACATTTAATCTCTTTGCATTTAAGTAATTATTGATAGATATATATTTATTGCCACTTTATTGTTCATATTTGTTATGTTCTTCTTCTAGAAGACCCTTCAACATTTCATATAATACTGGTTTGGTGCTGATGAACTCCTTTTGCTTTTTCTTGTCTGGGAAGCTCTTTATCTGTCCTTTGATTCTAAATGATAACTTTAATGGGTAAAATACTCTTGGTTGTAGGTTCTTGCTTTTCATCATTTTGAATATTTCTTGCCAATCCCTTCTTGCCTGCAAAGTTTCTGTTGAGTAACTTTGGGAGCTCCCTTGTAGGTAACGAACTGCTTTTCTCTTGCTGCTTTTAAGATTCTCTCTTTGTCTTTAACCTTTTGCATTTTGATGATGATGCGTCTTGGTGTGGACCTCTTTGGGTTCATCTTGTTTGGGACTCTGTGCTTCCTGGACTTGTATGTCTGTTTCCTTCACCATGTCAGAGAAGTTTTATGTCATTATTGTTTCAAAAAGGTTTTCAATTTCTTGCTCTCTCTCTCTTCTCCTTCTGGCACCCCCATGATGGGAATGTTGATACTCTTGAAGTTGTCCCTGAGGCTCCTTAAACTATCCTCATGTTTGTTTGTTTTTCTGTTCTGACGGGGTGTTTTCTGCTTCCCAGTCATCCTGATCGCTGAGTTGATCTTCTGCTTCACCTACTCCACTGTTGATTTTCTGTAATCTATTCTTCATTTTAGTTAGTGTATTCTTCATTTCTGACTGGTTCTTTTTTATGTTTTCTATCATTTTGTTAAAGTTCTCACTGAGATAATTTTGCAGCCTTATAACTAGTGTTTTGAATTCTGGATCTGCTAGATTGCTTATTTCTATTTTGTTTAGTCCTTTTTCTAGAGTTTTGTTCTGTTCTTTCTTTTGGGACATGTTTCTTTTTCTTCTCATTTTGGCTGCTTCCCTGTGTTTGTTGCTATGTATTAGGTAGAGCTGCTACATCCCACAGTCTTAGAAAAGTGGCCTTATGTAGTAGGTGTCTTTCAGAGCCCAATGGTACAGCCTACTCAGTTACCTGATCTGGGTGTTCCAGGTGTGTCCCTTGTGTGGGTTGTGTACACCCTGCTTTTGTATTTGAGTCTTGATTGCCTTGTCACATGAAGGGGAGGGAGTTACCCACTCCCAGGCCCATCAGCTACAACTACAGTAGAGGTTCTGCTTGTGTGGTGGCTGACCCCACAGAGCAGGACTTACTTCAGTGGGGCTCTAGTGCCAGATACATTTGCCCTTTGAATGTGTTTGGTGGAGATGGTTGGGTGCTGCTCCCTCATGGACTGAAGCTGGACTTCAGGTGCACTGGCTCTGGTGCCTCCCGGGAGGTGCAGGCCAAGATCATTTGCTGCCTATGCCCAGCCCGGGGCCACTTAGCATGAGCTACAAAGTGACCTGCCGATGGTTGCTACATATGCTGAGCTTGGAGGTGTCCAGGAGAGGCCAAACTGTGAACTGAGGCTCGCTACCACTAGTGCCAGACCTAAGGCCACCTAGCAAGAGTTATGGGGCATGCCGAGTCCAGATGCTGCTTGTTTGGGGTTTGTGAACCTTTGAGAGATTTTTTAGGAAGGTCTGCAGCATGAGCCAAGACAGACTATTTGTATGGAAAAGCCTCTGGAAACAGCTTGTTTGGGCCCACAATTTAGGTGGGGTGGGATCTCAGGGAATTATCAGTCGAGGCAAACAGTGTTAGCCAGGTTGATGGAAACTGAGATATGGGCCCACTGGCCGGCTGTGTGGGGGAGGGCTTAGCAAAGGAACAATGGCCTCTGTCAGCACTTCTGTCTGGGAGAAAGCTATCCCTTTATCCCTCTCCCCAAAGATATGTAATTCAGTTTCTCCCCATATGTCCTGGTGCCTTTTGAGCTGCTGCTTTAGCCCTGGAGCTCAGAGCCAGTTATTTCGAGTAAGTCTATGTGTGGGCCCTTTAAGAGGAATGCCTGGCACTCCAGCATCCCTCACACAGCCACAATTTCACAGCCCGGAGTTACAGAGCCTTCTCTTCCTGGCACTAGAGTCCTGGGCTGGGGGACTGGGACTCCTTGCTCCTCAGTGGGCCCTTTGTAGCTGAGATATTCCTCCTGGTTTTTATCTGCCACACGTAGGTTTGGGACCAGCTTGTTCTGCGTCTCTTAGCAGTCTTGCTGTGGATTCTTTATATCCTCAGTTGTAGGAGTTCTGTTCTGCTAGATCTGAGGTGGCTGTTCTGTAGTTCGGTTGTAATTTTGATGTGGTTGTGGGAGGATGTAAGTACCTTGTTCACCTATCTGCCATTCTTGACCAGAAGCCTTCTAACCTCGATGTCTTGATGTTCTGCACAAGCAGGAGACAAAGAAAAAAATGATTAATTGGAATTTGGCAAAAGTAAGAACTTTTGTGCTTCAAAGGACAAGAAAGTGAAAGAGACAGCAGATGGGGAGGAAATATTTGTAAATTGTGTATTTGATAAAGGACTTACATCTAGAATACATAAAGAACTGTTACAACTCAACAATAAATAAACAACCCAATTTAAAACTGAGCAAAATATTTGAATAGACATTTCTGTAAAGAAGATATACAAAGGCCAATAAGACGATGAAAGATGTTCAGCATCATTAGTCATTAGGGAAATTAAATCACTTTACATAGACTAGAGTGCCTGTAATAAAAAAGATAGACAATAATTATTGGCAAGGGTATGGAAAGATTAGATTAATTATATATTGTTGGAAGGAATAAAAAATGATATGGCCACTTTGCAAGACAGTTTGGCAGCTTCTCAAGAAGATAGATACAAAATTACTATCGGACCCTTGCATTCTTCGTATCATACTCAAGAGAATTGAAAACATAAAAATCTTGTACACAAATGCTCAAAGCCACCTTATTCATGATAGCCAAATGGTGGAAACAACCCAAGTATCTGTCAATGAGGAATAAACAAAATGTGGTATAGTCATACAATTCAGCCATGAAAAAGAATGAAGTACTGATACATGCTACATCATAGATAAATCCTGAAAACATTGTGCTAATGAAAGAAGCCAAACACAAAAGGGCACATATTATTCCATTTATATGAATAAATGAGTTTCCAGAGTAGGAAATGCCATAGAGATTAAAAAATTAGTGGTTTCCAGGCCTAGAGAGAAGGGGCAATGGGGTGTGACTGCTAATGGTAGGGGGTTTCTTGTTGGGGTGATAAAAATATTTTGGCCCTGGCCAGTTTGGCTCAGCGGCTGGAGCTGACCTGCGGTCCGGAGAGACCCGGGTTCGGTTCCCGCTAAGGGCACGTACCTCGGTTGCGGTTTGTCCCCGGCCCTGGTTGGGTTGTGTGGGTGGCGGCCACTCGATGTGTCCCTTTCACATCGATGTTTCCCTCTCTCTCTCTTCCTCTCTCTCCCTCCCACTCTATCTGATCGGGAAAAAAAAAAAAATTTTGGAATTTGAAAGTGGTGCGGATTATACAACCCAATGAATATACGGTAGTCTCCTCTTACCCATGGGGGATATATTTTAAGACGCCCCCCTCCAGTAGATTCTTGAAGCCATGGATGATACTGAAACTATACCATGTTTTTTCTATACCTTTTCGCTTAAAGGAAGCACTTTACAACTTCTCTTTAGCATATCTGAATTGCTAGCATCACTACTCTTATGCTTTGGGGCCATTATTAAGTAAAATAATGGTTACTTGAACATACATGCTGAGATTCTGTGACAGTAACTGAGGCAGTTACTATGTGACTAACGGGCAGGTAGTTCACACGGCACGGATACACTGGACAAAGGCATGATTTGCATCCTGAGCAGGGCAGTGTGAAATTTCATCATGTTACTCAGAACGGCAAGCAATTTAAAACTTAAGAATTTTTTATTTCTGGAATTGTTCACTTAATATTTTTGGACCACAGTTGACCACAGGTAACTGAAACCAAGGAAAGCAAAACTGTGGGTAAGGGGAGACTATAGTATTAAAAACCACTGTATTATACACATAAAGGGTGCATTTTATGGTATGTGAATTATATCTCAATAAAGTTGTTATTAAAACATTTAAAAACCCTACAGTGTACCATTTAAGTGGGTCATGTGGTATTGAAAAATAAAATTATTCCAACGATTTCTTGCTTAGCTGGTTACTCTGTAGTGTTTGCAGTTGTTTTTTAATGAACTGTCAGAAGACTGGAATTGCGTTTGTTGGAATTGTTATACTAGCGAGAGATACAGGACTATTTTTCAGTTATACAAAGGTGAGTCAAAGACACATATTAGAAAAATTCCTTAGAATTAGCTAAATTGAGATTGTATCAGGGTTTGTGTAGAAAGTTTTACTTCATTTACAATTGTGAGTTAAAATACTTTTAAGCGTTCTTTTGATAATAAAATCCTTTTCTGTTTTTTTTCAGTGCTTCATCTTCAGTTATTTTTGTTGGTGAAGTGTAAGGGTAAACTGCTTTTCTGTGTACCCTGTGGATTTAAGTAGTTGGATTCAAAATGAACTAAGCTTGTTATCCAGTTTTACTCTTTTTGACAGCTAAATTTTGAAATATAATGAATTCAGATCTTACTAGCTATAAAATCTTCTTGAATGGTTTTTATGGTTTAATGAAATTGAGTACACTTTGATGTTAGTGAGATCCAGTCTTCTATCTTTTATGGTTCTTTTTCTTATATCGTTGTCTGTTCTAACCCACTGTAATGCTTAGCTTGCAGAACACAGAGAAGTCCGGCATTCTTACAGTCTGGAGTCCCTTTGCCACTGTCCTTTTTACGAAGAAGCTATGCATTTAGTTGAAGAAGGAAAAATTTACTCAAGAGTGCTTAGGTACCATTTCAGTTTTGCTTATGTTTGTGAAAAAGATTAAGGTGCTACTGCTATGTTTATATGATATTTATTTGAAATGTTCATGAGAATAGGGGAAAGTATATTTTTAGGCTCAAACAATATTTTTAACATGTTTCATCAGTATTGGAAAGACATGTGTTTTATATTAAGGTCCTGAGGTTAAGCCTTATTTGAGCCCACATTTATAGTGGGCTTGCTCTAGAATGCAGTGTAACTGTTGTCTCCCGTTTCTTACATAGAACTGAAATGCTGGAGTGCCTAGGAGACAGTGATTTTCTTGCCAAACTTCATTGTATACGACAGGCTTTTCAGGTATCTTTTTAAAACATTAGGTGACTTTACCCAGCCACTCATCCCCGCCCTCATGCTATAGAGTCCAGCTGCATATAAACAGGACAGCTCTTTGCTGTTTGTTATTCTCATTCCTAATGGCACATATAAAGTCTACCAAGTTTATGTTTCCTGCCTGCTGTTTCCCTTCATTTGGCTTCGTTTGTCATTGTCCTCTCCCATGGCTTCCCAGGTCCACCGCACTTTGTCAAAACAGGATATTTTGATGGTGGGTGTGTATAAATGGCTGCTTAAAATTAAAATCCTACTTTTTAAAATTATCAATTGATTGTTTTTGATTTGACTCAATTTTAAAGTCATTGATTTTCTAAAATGAAATAAGGGGATTAAACAACAAAATTATCATTATTTTTCTTATGTTTTGGGGCTATGTATCATTGATTTTGGACTTTCTAATATTAAATTGAACAGAATTTAAATTCAGATTTATCCCCCTTTAATCTTTTTTGATTATAGGTTTCAAGAGCTCCTTTTATTTTAGTAAATTAGAACTTTCTCTGTGGTCTGCCTGCTGAAATCGTGCCACGTACGATGAATGCAGTGGCCGCATTAGGGTTACTTGTGCATAGATGTGCTCTGAAGTCACACGTTTATTCAAATTCATTACAGGTCTCTTTTTCCTTTGTTTGGGGATGGATATTTTTTCAGGTCATTCTTTCAGAAACAGCCAACAGGATATTCCTTGCTGAGAGTGGAAGGAAAATTTTATCGGCCTTAATTGCGAAAGCACGAAAGGTAACTTGTTTTGTTGGCAGGTTTTTTTTTTTTATTGTTGTTTCTGTTGAACTGAATATTAAAATACATTACTTTTTTTTTTTTTTTTTCTTTATCCTTACCCGAGGACATTTTTTCTTTTTTGTTCAGATAGAGTAGGAGGGAGAGAGAGGAAGAGAGAGAGAGGAACATCGACGTGAAGGGGACACATCGAGTGGTTGCCACCCGCACACCCCAACCAGGGCTGGGGACAAACTGCAACCGAGTTACGTACCCTTAGCGGGAACCAAACCCAGGTCTCTTTGGATTGCAGGCTGACGCTCTAACTGCTGAGCCAAACCGGCCAGGCCAAAATACATTACATTTTTAATAGAAGAAACAGTTTTTGTAAATAGTCGCAAAGGTTCACATAAAATAAATAAGCCAAAGGGTATTGATTTCTACTTGGGCTGAATTATTTTCTTTTCTTTTTTCTTTCTTTTTTTTTTTTATCCTCACCCGAGGATATTTTTCCATTTTTTGTACAGATAGAGTGGGAGGGAGAGAGAGAGAGAAACATCGACGTGAAGGGACACATCGAGTGGCTGCCACCCGCACGACCAACCAGGGTCGGGGACAAACTGCAACCGAAGTACGTGCCCTTAGCAGGAACCGAACCCGGGTCTCTCTGTACCGCAGGCCGACCCTCTAACCGCTGAGCCAAACTGGCCAGGGCTGAATTATTTTCTATGTATGAAGCCCATTCTGTTTTGATCCAGTTGTTTCTCATAAATTATCCCAAAATTGCCATAAAGTCTATGAATGTCATGGTAAGAATCATTATTAGATCTGTTAACAGTAACCACTATTATTATTTCTAATACCTCTTCTCTACCTCCCTTAATCCTGTTCAGTAAGAAGGTTCTGGGGAATAGTATAGATCTCAGAAATCTGGAAATACAAATTGAGCTGCCTCTTATTCTTATTTATCTTCACAGAACTGAATGAGGCAGAAGCAATGAAAAGAACTTCATTAAGATGATAAGGAACCACTTTTCTATATGCAAGGAGTGTCCAGATGATGAGGAAAACCAACATAAAACAGGCTTTCCTTGAGCCGTTTGAACACCTGGTTTTCAGACCCAATCTATTTGAACCTCAATCCATCATTTGAATAATAACTATATTTGTGATACCCTATTTCAAAGGGTTCTTATGATGATTAAATAAATGAAAAATAGGAAAGAAAATTTTTTACAAAGTGCAAAATAAATAAAAGGAGATATTAACAACTTGCAATTCGCAGTGTTAATATGTATTATGTTGCTTTCTTGGCCTTCCCATGGCAGGCAGCGGTTTGGACCGGAATTCCTCCTCAAGGAGTAGAACTGCATCAGAAACATCAGATGGTATCTTTTGCAGCTATTTTTCATCTTAAGGACTGACCTAAATAAGCATACATGATCGAGTAGTAGACACTTTGCTTATAACATTTTACTAATGTTCTTAGTCTTGGCTTCTTCAAAATAGTGGAACAACGGAATATTAAACCAAATGAATATGGCATACCTTGAAAATGTATTTTAACTCAGTAACCTAATCAAATGACGATCTAGCAAATCTACTTGAAGAGTAACTCGTGCTTTGCAGGCTTGAACCTTCCTATGAGGTTGCATTTAGGACTGAAGTGTGTTTCCTTGCTCTGGCCTGTTTGGCTCAGTGGTTAGAGCGTTGGCTCGCGGTCCAGAGAGACCCAGGTTCGGTTCCTGCTAACGGCACGTACCTCAGTTGCAGTTTGTCCGCGGCCCCGGTTGGGGTTGTGCGAGAGGCAGCCACTCAATGTGTCCCTTTCACATCAATGTTTCTCTCTCTCTCTCCCTCCCTCCTGCTCTATCTGAACAAAAATGGAAAGATGTTCTCGGGTGAGGATAAAAATAAAATAAAATAAAGTGTGCTTCCTTTGCAGAATCCTAAGAAGTTTGAAGATGTTTTTGATGAAATGATCTATTTTCTAGAACAGACTGATCACTGGGATAGCACTGAAATGGAACTTGCTGCTAAAGGAGTAAGTTCACATTTTTAAATAATATTTATTCCCCCTAGTTACTTGCACATAATATTTACATAATTTGAGGCCACTGTTTTTTTTGTCCTTGTTAAATGACAGTAAAGCCATTTGTGTGGTGGTGGATCTGACAGACTCATAAACATTAGCAACCACAGGCTTTATACATTGGGATAACAGTTGAAAATAATTTTTTAAAGCCTTTTTCTTCCCTTACTTCCTTCCTCCCTCCTTTCCTTCTGTTTTTCCTTCCATCTGAAAGTCAGGAGCAGGCCCTAGCAGGGAAGTAATGGTGGCCTGTGCAGAGATGGTTTCAGATGGACAGCTAACTGGGGCCAGGGTATTGGCTACATATACAGGATCAAACAAACAAATATTGAAGATAATTGGAGCCAGGCTTCTGACTGTCGGAGAAGGGAGGTATAAAAAGCTAGGATTGCATTTGGAGCTGTCAGGGTGACTTCATAGTTTTAATAAGTATAGATAGGTATAGAAATAAATATAAAGGCTTGCATATACATAAACATACATGTACTTCCCAGCTCTGTTCACTGAGAGGGTCTGGGAGCAGCAACACCTCAGAAGAAATGACTCCTCGAGGGCATACAGATCTTGGCTTCTAAGTACCACTCTCCACTGAAAGGAACTAGGACTCTGGAAACACGGCTGATTTCAGCACTGGGATAGGGCAAGTACACGATGAGCCTGGAACATTTTGTTGTAACAGAAGCTTAAAGAATGAGTTTGCAAGGAACTAAAAGTCTTTCTAGGCAGAGAAAACAGTAGGTACAGAGACATGGAGGCATAAACTTTCCTTCTCCAGTGTTCCCTCACTTGGTGAAGGAATCGGCATCCATTCAGTTGTACAGGCAGGACACCTGGGATCCTCCTTCACCTGGTCCCCACCTACTTTATCATATTGCTCTCTTAAGTTTTGTAATTTTAACTTCTGTACATCTTTCAATTTCTTTAACTTTCCTCTGTTCCTGCCAGCCCCAATGTAGTCTGGGTAACTGCTGTCTTTTCCTGGACCACCTCCGTCTTCCCTGCCTGCTCCTCCCCTCCCTGCATTCACTTCCTCCTCTCCATCCCCTCTTCACATTGCTGCCAAGTTGTCTTTAAAAAATACAAATGTGATCATCCACCTCCCCTCCACCACGTCCCTCCTAAAATACTATGAAGGTAAAATCCAGAGTCATCAGCATGGGCCATAAACTCTGCAAGACTTGTCCCCTCCTCTTTGTTGCCTCTGTGCACTTCTGTAGCGAGCTGGGGCGCACTTGCTGTGATTTTCTTTGACTCAGCATCACTGTGTTCCTTCTTACCTTAAAGTCTTTGACAAGGTATTTCTTGTACCTGGATGCGTCCCCTTTGTGATGTGAGGGATATCACAAAGCCCTCTGTGATATCCAATCTAGATTAGAAACTTCACCATAAGCTCTCATCGTACCATACCATGTACTTTTTTCCTTTACTGTGCTTATCAGTTTGTAACTGGATTTGAGGGATTATTGCTGTCTGTTTTCCCCACTAAACAAAGCATCTGGTTTACTTACTCTAGAAGTCTGAGCACCTGGTATAGCATGTAGTACAATACAGTATGCGTGAATGAACGAAAGAGTGAGAGGTTCATGATGTTGTGGGGAAGACAGATACACCAATAAGTCAATGACAAAGCAGAATGATCTTTGTGGACACCATAATTAAAGCACAAACAAAGGACTCCTACTGTAGAGTGAAGGGAGAGATTAATTTCCCCTGATGAGATCTAGGAAGGAACAGCTGTCATGTGAATTGTAATTTCAGGGGTTGAGTTGTTTTCTTATTTGTCTCTCCTCTTCCTCTCTTTTTGTCATTAATATAGTAATCTGATGCAACTAAAATATCCAGCTGTTGTAGTAAAGTATGAAGCCCTGGCTCAGATTTTATTTTAGCTTTATGTAATAATTTCTGTTTTAACTCATAATTTAATGCAGGTGAAAAATCTAAATTTTTATGATGTTGTTCTGGATTTTATATTAATGGATTCCTTTGAAGATTTAGAAAACCCACCCACATCCATACAGAATATAGTAAATAATCGCTGGCTAAACTCATCCTTCAAAGAAACTGTAAGTGGTGGTTTATCTTTTTCAACTATGTACATTTAATGAAAAAAGTTTAGAAATGAGCCCTGGCCGGTTTGGCTCAGCGGTTAGAGCGTCTGCCTGCGGTCCGGAGAGACCCGGGTTCGGTTCCCGCTAAGGGCATGTACCTCGGTTGCAGTTTGTCCCCGGCCCTGGTTGGTCGTGCGGGTGGCAGCCACTCGATGTGTCCCTTTCACATCGATGTTTCCCTCTCTCTCTCTCTTCCTCTCTCTCCCTCCTACTCTATCTGTACAAAAAATGGAAAAATGGCCTCGGATGAGGATTAAAAAAAAAAAAAAAAAAAAAAAAAAAAAGTTTAGAAATGAGAAGCTTAATAAGATTTACATGTATATCGCCTATGGAACTAGTGTGGACACTGAGTTCATCCTTTGATATTGTGATCAGATGTGTAGAATATTCAACATCTTCAGATGAAATTTCCTTTTTGGTTTTTCTGTCAGTCCTTCCCTTGACCTGAAATAGTCAGTATTTCTTTAGATCTAAAAACAAAAACAAAAAAAAATGTTACCTCAGGCTTCAGACTAGTTCAGATCTAACAGAAAATTGTCTGTAACTGAAATGACTATGACTAAACTGAAATATAGCAGCCGCAGTTGGAGCACTGGCCTGCGGATCAAAGAGTCGCGGGTTCAATTCCGGTCAAGGGCACGTACCTCAGTTTCAGTTCCATCCCTGGTCCTGGTGCGGGAGGCAACCAGTCGATGTGTCCCTCTCACATTGATGTTTCTCTCTCTCCCTGCCCCCTCTCTTCACTCTATCTGAAGATAAATGGAAAAGTATCCTCAGGTGAGGATTAAAAAAAAAAAAAAAAAGACAGTATGTATTTTTTAGAGAAAATTATGAGGATTCTTGTTCCCAAATACTATAAAAAACTAGGAAAGAAAAAAAACACAGGTTTAAACTATATTTTATACTTACAATGTTTTTAGTGTCTATTGTTTTTCATACTCAAATCTCTATTTGCTGCTGTTGTTTATTTTTTTGGAGGGGGTCTTTAAGTGTGTACCTGAAAGTAGGTGGTATAGCTATTCATGATGAAGTTTGAATGCCTTTTTAAAATGTTTCACTGGGTTCTGGCCGGTATGGCTCAGTTGGCTGGGCTCGTCTTGTGTACTGAAGGTTGCTGGATCAAGTCCTGATTCATGTTCCATTCTCACATTCATGTTCTCCTCTCTCCCTCTCCCTTCCTCTTTTCTTAAGAATCAGTTTTTTAAAATGTTCCAATGGGCTATTTCACAAGTTTTTTTTTTTTTGCTAATTTCTGCTATTAAATTTTAAAACAGTTTTAATAAATCCACGTTTCCTTCAGTGTATGTTTTACCCATAAAAGGTACATGTTATTTCCATTTCCATAACTGCTTTGGTAAATTGACCTTGATCAAAGTTGGGTCCTGTCAGAATAGAGTCAGATTTCTTCAGGATCCATTTAGGTGTTTTGTCCCTATCATTGTGGTTATACTTTTTAGTTCTTTATTTGGATAAAACTGTTAGCTTTATTCACAATTATTTCCAGCAGTACTATTCTTTTTTTTAAAAAAAGTACTTTGTCTTCATTTTTATGCATAAAATATTTACTAAATATGTGCATCTATGTATACATATTTTTACTCTTTTCCCTTAGGAACAGAATTTAAGAACTCTGGGAGTTGAATTATAATTGCGACGGTCATTGGTACCAGAATTCAGCCTTTTTTTCTTTAGAGACTTTGTATTTCTTTAATTCTAAAATTTATTTAATTCTAAAATTTATTTAATTCTAAAACACTTCTTTTCATTAATACTTAACAAACAATAGAAGGAACTGGTTCTTGGTTAATGTTTTGAGCAATTTAGACCCATCAACTTTGAATTTCTAATAAAAATCACATCACTCTTTTCTAAATGGAAAGTCTATGTAGTTATAAATTGAAGTCTTGTTTTTCTCCTCTGCATATACTTAGGCTGTGGCTTCAAGTTGTTGGTCAGTGCTGAAACAGAAAAGGCAACAGATGAAGGTAAAATACTTTGGACATCTTTGTTAAGTAATTTCAGGCTCCTGTCAAAGAAACATCTGAGTCGGTTCTCTAGTGGGAATGGCAGGTCATAAGTCCCTAAAGCTAGATGAGTGATTTATCGGTACATGGTTGGCTCCTCCTGTTTTGAATTCTTTCTTCCTCTCCCTTAACTTCTGTAGAGTTCAGTATCGCAGGCATTTAGGGGTTTCTAAGTGGAAGAGGGTTCAGGGTTGGAAACAGCTCTGACAGAGTTTTAGTTTTTGTTTTTTTACTTACTGACGTTTCAAAATTTGTTTAATATTGTGGTTTCCACTTCATGTAATCCAATTGAGAAATAACTATTTGATTTTGATAGCTGTTTTATTCAAATGAGAGGCTCCACCGAAAAGTCTCCAAGTTTATATCCTGTCTCCATGGCGCACACCCTTCAGCCCATCTCACCACCACTCCCTCCCATGCAGAGGGCGTGACTGCAGTGAGACGGCCTGGCTCCAGATGCCTCTCTGGCCATGACCTCTGGGAGGGGGCTTGACCTCTCTGTGCCTTAGTTTCCTTATCTCTCAGAAAGAGTATAGTACCTACTGCATGGGGATTTTGAAGACTCAATGCATAAAACTTAGAACAGTGTTTGACATAGTGCATTTTGCAAGTGTTGGTTATTATAGTGTTGTTATTTATCCACTGACCTGTAGTATTTGATCACATCCATATTTCTCAGTTTGATCCTTGTAACTTTGGGATTATATTGCCAAGTGCAGCATTTTCAAAACACAATTCTCACAGCATCTTCAGATGGTGCTTATTAAAAATAATTCTGAAGACCATATCTTTGAGTAATTCTTATTTAAAATGATTCCAGAGACCCAGTCCCCTAAATGAAGATTATAAACAAGTTCCCTAAATCATGATTATAAACTGTAATGTTTGAGAACCTCTGGTTTAGGGCTAGGAAACAGACCTGTAGACTGGGTTTGATTCTCACATAGCCAGCATGATGATGGGCAAGTTACTACCAGCTGACATTCCGTTTTCCTGTTTGCAAAATGGAGTTAATGCTTACTTCACAGGGCTGCTGTAAGGATGAAATGAGATAGTATTAACAAGCTTAATTTAAACATAAAATTAAGAGTAAATATTAGAAAGTTTTTAATAAGTGGTAGTTTCCATGATTGTAACATTATCATTATATCTAACTTTATTTGTTCTTAGCATGAATCTTGTGCCTTAGCCTTCTTTCTGTATCCACAGAAACCTATGTATCTTACCTCTTGGGGAACTACTTCCTATGCCTGGCATGGCATACTCTATTCCCTGTACTTAAATACATCTTACCTGCTGTTGAGTTCAGCTCAACAATTATTCCTTGGTGAAGCATGTCTCTTCTACTACAGCCCATGCTAACTTCTTACCTGTCTGAACACCTAGTACAGTTAGAGTCTGTATCGGTTTTAGAACTTGAATGTATGCAGAACATCTCTTATACTAGAGTAATAACTTAAGTACATCCCTCATGACGTTTTGGCCTTCACTAGATAGTATGTGATTTAGGACAGGTTATTCAATCCCTCTGAAGTATCACTTTTTACATATTAAAACGTTGACGTGACCTACTTTTTCAGGAACGTTTTATTAAATAGAACCAGCACATTATCTGGAATATAATGAGTACTCATTAAATGCTAATTGCTGCTATAATATATTTCTTAAATTGAGGTTTAGATATCTTAGAGCCTATAAAAGAGAAAATAACCCCTCCACAAGACAGAATCTTAAGGCATAGTTATCCCCAGTGGATGTTATATGATACATCCCATCGGATCTTATTTAACCAGGACATTCAGAAAGTTATTAATAAACTTAGAGTTTTCTAAATCATAACTGTTTGTGTTACTGTTTCACAAGAAGAGGCAATTACACATTTCAATACTTCAATAATATCTGGTTCCTTAACTAAAAGTTAGGAGTCTAGTGAGCACAATTTTGTACTTAGGACTTAATCATTTTAAATTTGTTTTACTGCCCTGGCCAGTTTTGCACAGTGGTTAGAGCGTCGGCCTGCAGTCTAGAGAGACCCGGGTTCGGTTCCCGCTAAGGGCACGTACCTCGGTTGCAGTTTGTCCCTGGCCCTGGTTGGGTCATGTGGGTGGCAGCCACTTGATGTGTCCCTTTCATGTCGATGTTTCTCTCTCTCTCCCTCCCACTCTGTCTGAACAAAATATCAAGAAACGTCCTTGGGTGAAGATAAAAAATTAGTTTTACTATTTTTCAGATAATCTGATTAAGTGGTTGAGTAGAAATTTTTCATAGCTGAAACCCTGGCAATCTCATTAAAAATCATACCACTAAGGAACGTGTGCCATTCTTGTTTTTACTCGGTTACAACACTGATAGGATTGCTTCTGTGTGAAGTGAAAATGCCTTTGAGAAATACTGTTTCTCAGCATATATGAAACTTTTGGCTGGGTTATGAAATCTGCAGAAAACATTCTGTGACTAAAAGTTACTTGTAAGTTTATGAATTTTCTTATTAAGCCGGCTCATCCTTGACCTTTGGTTTTCCCTCAAAAGAACTGGTCATATGCTGGAAAGCAATTTAAGTTTCTAAAGAGAAAGCAAATTCAAATAGGTAAAAATAACTCAATTCTCCTTTTCTTCCCAACAGATCCCAGATGGATTTTTTGCCCATTTTTATGCCATTTGTGAGCATATCAGCCCAGTCTTAGCCTGGGGCTTTTTGGGTCCTAGAAATTCTCTCTATGATTTATGTTGCTTCTTTAAGGTATGTCCAGTCATTGAACCATTTCGTTTTTCTAAATAAAAATATCTGTTTTGTTTTTTGCGTTTGCAGAAGAAAGAATGTTATTTAAAGGTAAAGTGATAAAAGTTGCCTAAATCCAGTGTTTTAGATAGATGGGGTGCTTTACCCGGAGTAGCTGCAATCCCATCACGTGTCAGTCCCTCTGTGATGGATGCCTGTTCTCGGATGGCGTTATGATGCTGCAGTCAAATTGCTGAAGACAGTTTGTTCTTCATGCCTGGATGCTTTTGAAATTTATAAAATAAGTAATATTTGTCTTTATTTGCTTATGTGGCCATGTAGAAAGAAGTTCTGGTCCAAGGTAATATGAACAATAAAATCCCAGTTGTAAGAAATAACATGAGAGTTTAAAGTTGCATCCCAAGGTCAGCTGTTTAAGCTTGCCAAAAAAAAAAAAAAAAAAAAGTTATATAGCTCATTGCAGAATTTTCTGCTTGGCACAGTGCCAAGAAAAATCTCACTATTTTAATAACCTTCAGTTTAGGCTGAGTTTCAAGAAGCAAATAAAAAAGTAAATATAACCAAGTATGAATTAGAAAGTTTTTGATGTTTAAAAGTTTGGATGTTTCACTATACCCTTCATTAAAAAAATAAAGTTATGTTTATGTGCTGTTAATGTAGTATTCATGTAAATGGTTTAGGAAATATTTATTTTGCTATCGTTTAAAACTCATTATTTTTTGACTAGTTTACTTGACCTCTCAAATGTAAGTTAAGGTATGTGTTTCGGGGGAAAGATTTGGACTGAGAATTAAGTCTGTTATTAATGAACAGTCTGACTCTGGGAAATTCTGCTTTGTCCTCTTTTTCTTTATCTATCTATCTATCTATCTATCTATCTATCTATCTATCTATCTATCATCTATTTTTTTTGGTACGTGCCCCTAGCGGGAACCAAACCTGGACTCTTTGGTCCGCAGGCTGACGCTCCAACCACTGAGCCAAACCGGCCAGGGCTTTTTTCTTCATCTATAAAATGAAGAAAACTTCCAGTTTTTGAAACTTCCAGTTACAAAATCCAGTGATGCTAAGAGGTGTGCCTTCTTAGTACTTCTTAATATTTGATTTCTGTAGGGTAGAAATTAAATACTCCTGATTTTTACTCTTTGGAATTACTTTTATTTTCATGATAGTATAACAACCTGAGACTTAATACTTAGTAGGATACAACTTGTTTAAAGTGAGTTTCAGCCTAAGTATTATTAACTTACTGAAATGAAATATTCTTGTCTTCCCCTGATTCAGACCTGAAATTATATTAATTTCACAAATATCCTAAGTTTTGTATGTACAGAAAAATATACATTTAAAACTTATAAGTTATAATTATTGAAAATAGTTTACTCTTCTGTCTTAAAGTAGTACCATTTTTATAGGTAACATTGAAAACGTCAGTTATTGGGAAAGGACTAATAATAGCCCCTTTACCTTTATACAGTGCTTTTGGTTTACACACATTTTCTTTAGATTTTTTTTTTTCATAACATCAGCCCTGAGTAGTACAACTAATGATAAGCAGTATTGTCCCTTATTTTACAGAAAAAGAAAATGAGACCTCAAAGAGGTTTGATCACTTGTTCACTGTCCCTCTCCCACTGAGACAGGAAATTAGCACTGGAACTCAGACCTTCTGCCTCTCATTCAGTGCCTGTTACAACGTTAGACACTATTCAGATTTAATGCAAGTTTGATCTAATAAGTGCCAATTTGTTTTGTGTTTATTTTCCAGAATCAGGTTCTTTTCTTTCTCAAAGACATTTTTGACTTCGAGAAAGTGCGCTATTCCAGTATAGAGACTTTGGCCGAAGACCTCATGCAGTTACTTGTTCGCCGCACTGAACTTCTCATGGCCTATCTGGGAGCTGATGCGCTGAGGCATACAAGTAGTTGTATAAGTGGTCATGGCCACGTTATGTCCAGTGGCCTGGTGGAAGCCAAAGCGCAATAAGTATCATAACAATCAGACAATTTGAGTGTGCAATGAAATTTTTAAAGATAACTGTTGATTCTGTAAGATATATTGCACAGAATTAGTGGATATGGGCTCAGGGAAGGAAAAAAATCTAGTGAAGAATGCGTGGCCGTACTGTACTCACACAGAAGTTCTGTCATTGAATCCCTGTGTAGTGTATCCAAAGCAGCTGTTCACAGTTGAGGTAATAATTTAAGTCATGAAATGTTGCATATTTTGCTTGACTTGAAGCCAGTACTTGGGAGTTAATTGATTTGTCATCTTGAAGCTGTCTGAAATGTCTAGTATTATTTTTTAAAGCTCTGTTTTTATGCTTTGCACCTTGAAATTATACACTTTAGCTAAGACCTGTGTGGCCTACACATACAATGTATTACTCCTAGTGTCCACAAATTTAACTTTGCCTGAAAATGTATTTTTAATTGTAAAGTTATTAATTTGTTTAATCAAGTTTAGACAGTAGTGGTGTTTAATATGTACTGCTTACATTATTGCTTGTGCGTTTGCTTATGTATTTGAATCAAACAAATTGTAATGGCTGAGTATCATTATAAAACATTTAAATGAATTGACACTGAGAAGTTTACAAGTTATAAGTTTATATTAGATTTACTACAGTTTCCAAAATATATTACTGTTAGTCCTGTAAGTTAAAATAGGCTAAAGGAATTTTTTTTATCTTTTTATAGATTAGAGCATTTTTCTCTTAAATGAATATTGATTAAAAAGATAAAATTTATTAACTATGACAGGCAATTAAAATTTTTTCTGTGTAGTTTTGAAACTGTCTCCCAACATCTGCAGTTATTAATCTTGATACAGTAAAGTCATTTCTCATTTTTCCTTCTATAAAACAAGTTTTTAGTTATTCTTATAGAGAATTTAGCCCATTTTGTCATATTATGTCCATATTTTTAAAATATTCATACTTTGAGCCTTAGTGAGGTCTTAAAGGAATTATTTTCCCTATGAATGTAGAACAAAATATTTTTAATGATATGGAAGTATATTTCATGTCCTTTATGATGAATCTATGAACAAATGGGTTGTTCATATAAGTAAGGTTCTTTAGAGTATATTAGATACTTTTAGAGTTGTATTAATTTTGTGTCTAAATCATATACCATTTATTTGGAGTGGCTGACTCAGTATATCAATGAATTCAATTTGTTGATTTTTTTTTTTTAATCCTCAACCAAGGATTTTTTTTTTTTTTCAACTAGAGTAGGAGGTAGGCAGAGAGAGAGAGAAAAACATCAGTGTGAGAGAGACGCATCCAATGATTGCCTCCTGCACAACCCCGACCAGGGCCGGAGATCGAACCCACAACTGTGCCTTTGACCGGGAATCGAACTTGTGACTCTTTGGTCCAAGGGCCGATGCTCCAACCTCTGAGCCAAACTGGCCAGGGCTTGTTGATTTTGTTTTTAAAGTGGGCTTTATCTATTTTAGGAGTGAGTTACTCAGAAGGATTTAAATATATATTTTTAGAATGCATTTTTAGATTAAAGTGCCTAGTTTCTGATTAGTAGAAAATGAAAAGGGGGTGGGGGAAGCATAATCTTTTCAGGTTTTAAATTTATGTATGTGCCATGTTTAGGTAAGAGTAGTTACAAAATGTGAGATTCAGCATCTTCATTCTGATTGCATGTACTGTATTCCATAACATACAGTTTATAGTATTAAACAGTATGAAATATTGCTGTAATAATTTTTGAATATATAGTTCCTTGACTTTTCTTATGTTCTTAATTTAAGAATTGGCTATTCATCATTCTTATTATTGATGGAAGAGTATCATTAGAAGTATCAAATCTAAAAATTCCATTATGTAATGCTTTACTTTTTAATTTATGTCTTGTATTTTTAGCTTCTTATTGAGGTACCACTGGCCTTGAATGATTCACACACATACACACATATGTGCACATACACATTCACAGTATTATGTAGGCAAGACAGTTATTGCTTATATGAATTTTCCTGTGTGTGGAGCTAATGTTTTAAGCTGTGGTTTTATAAGCAAAGTTATAAGTAAACTTGATTACTCTTTTATTTGAGGAAGATATTTGAAATCTATTTAGAAGAATTGCACTATTTTATAATGCTGCTACTACGTGAGATAACTGAGGAATTTATTTCATCAGGTAAGATGAATGGCTTTCCAGAGGGTTTTTTTTTTTTTCTTTTATAGTTTATCTTTTGAAAAAGTTGCCCATATTCAACAGGTTGGTTTGTCTAATTAAGGGCTTGAGTTTGATTCGTTTTTGGTCAGTTTAGGACCTATTACTAGAGTAAGATACTTTCTTTGGTGGCCTTTAACAAGAGTCAGGAATGACCAAATAGAGTTTCAGGATAATGCATATAGGGAAAAAACCTCTATTGTAAGAGGTGAAACTTGACCTTTTAAAAGAAGTATCTCTCTCTTTTTTTTTATCCTCGCCCGAGGACATTTTTCCATATTTTGTTCAGATAGAGTGGGAGGGAGAGAGAGAAACATCGACGTGAAAGGGACATATAGAGTGGTTGCCTCCCAAACAACCCAACCAGAACCGGGGACAAACTGCAACTGAGGTATGTGCCCCTAGCAGGAAAGGAACCCGGGTCTCTCTGGTCCGCAGGCCGACGCTCTAACTGCTGAGCAAAACCGGCCAGGGCAAAAGAAGTATCTCCTAAAAATGTTTTTGACCACAGAAGAGTTCTTATGACCTATGTACCAATTTCAGTTTGCTTTGACATTGAGTTAAACAGTTAATGTTTTTAAAAATTAAAAAAAAATCACTGAAACTAGTTTAAACTTTTTAGGGTAAACTCTGTTTAACATTTACTCATGGTAACATTATCAGAAAATTGCCACTTCCACATGAGTCCACCACCTACTTCCCCAGGTAGATTATAAGAGGATCTTGAATTAGTCCTGAGTAAATGGATCTTCTCTCTTCTGTTTTTTGGAAGAAAAAAAGGTAAGTGTTCAGGTGATTTATACTTGGTAATTTCTTTTCTGTTTTTGTTTCTCTACATTTTTGTTTATCTAAAAGGCTGGTTACTTTTTCTCTGAGACTTAAAATATGTTTATTAAATGTTAAAATGAGATTATCTTTTTAAAAAGAAGCTAAGCTTTTCATGCTGTTATAGTCAGCTACAAAGAACTTTTTCTCATAAAGTAGTAGTCTTTATTTGCATCCATTTACTTATGATTACAAAAATTTGTTGAATTAATTGACTTTATAGAAAATATTTACAATTTTCTTGCCTTACGTGAGTATCTAAGGAATGATTATTTGCATTACAAAAGGATACTTTATCATTCCTTTGAACATATGAAATAGGAATGCCAAAGTAACATTTAATATACTTCTCTGTGACCTTTCATGACCAGAAATTTTAAATTATGTTCGTTAACACAGTTTGCTTTTATTGTAATGTGAACACATTAGGAAATTATTTGGAATATACATTTCAAAGTGATTATATACAGATTAGGCTGAATTCAAAATTGTGGTTATTTGCTTGGATTAATCAAATTTAGAAATATCTCTGTTATGTGAGACAGGAAATTTGTATAATCTGTGATTAATGGAGATAAAGGTATCCTTTTTATGTTCCTAATGATTATGTTATTGTTTTTGCTTGGTTTGAGAATAACCATGTATTAGCTTTACTTGGCTGATATCAGTAAGTGTGTCTATTTCCTAAATGTAAGGTCTGCACTAACTAATTTATGTAAAAGTGAAACACTACAGTAGCAGAAAAAAAATAACACTGGCTCTTTAGCCAAAATAAGCACTATAACATGGATGTATTTCTACTGCTGCCAAATAAAAAAGTGATGGTGTATCTTGCTGATGTATTCAATATTTTATACGATGCTTAAACATTTGAAAGGTCACACTTGTTGCACTTTCAGTCTCCATAGGACCTCACATATACAGGCATAGAAAACACAGACAACAGTAGAAGCATTGAAATCAAGTGTAAAAGTTGCCCTACTAATTGGAAGAAAAGACAGTTTTGTAATGAATAAATTGAAAGTGCTTGCATTTTATTTTATTTATTTTTATCCTCACCTGAGGACATTTTTGCATTTATCTTCAGATAAAGTAGGAGGGAGAGAAGGAGGAAGAGAGAGACAGACATCAACTGGTTGCCACCCACATGACCCCAACAGGGCCGGGGACAAACTGCACCGAGGTACGTGCCTTTAGCGGGAACCGAACCCAGAACTCTCTGGTCCTCGGGCCGATGCTCTAACCACTGAGCCAAACCGGCCAGGGCGAAAGTGCTTGCATTTTATTTAATAAAGTGTTTCAATTAATAATGCCATCCAACACAATATACAGTGATACCTCGGTTCTCGAACGCCTCGAATTTCGACCAAATCGGTATTCGACCAGGAGATTCGAGAAACTTTTGTCTCGGAATCCGAACAAATATTTGGAACTCGAACTTCCGAGATGAGCCGAGTTGAGCCGAATGGCGTTCATTCGGCCCAGCGCGCCCTGCTTGCGTCATCAGTGTGAGTGCAGAGAGAGAGTCACGCTTTGTGGAGAGAGTCACGCTTTACACTGAATTTAACCCTTAGACATACTGTACACTTTTATTTCTTGTTGAGACTTCTGTTTTTCTACATATTATATACAAATTAGGCCAGTAAATAGGCATTTTCTGGGGCTTGGAACGAATTAATCCAGTTTCCATTATTTCCTATTGGGTTTCATTGCTTCGGTTCTCGAACAATTTGGTTCTCGACCGTCCTCCTGGAACGAATTATGTTCGAGAACCGAGGTATCACTGTAAATGTATAAATGTATCCTATTGAGGTACATGCATCCATCCCTATGCAGACATCTCCCTTGCCACCACTTCTTGATTAGTATTCAGACACCGTTAGTCAAGGAGAGGGATGCTGCCTGGCTACCACTGTGGACACCAGATGGTGAGAAGGGTTTACCTGGATATAAAAATAGTACAATATTACTCTCTCCCTCTCCCTTCTTCTTTCTCTCTAAAATCAATAAAAACGTATTTAAAAAAGAAGTTTATTTTAGGATAATTAAATATGTACAGTATAGATAAGTATATAGTTACATTTTTTAATTATTAAATTAAACAAGCTGAATTATATAATTTAATAAGCAAACCATACAAATATGAGTGGAATCTCTTCTTAGCTAGGGTATAGGGTTGGAGATAGAATGAGGAACCAGATCAGAATCTCAGTCTTATCTTCTGTTTTTTGGTCATCTGACATACTCTATTGTCTCATGCCATCCTCTTTGATTCTGCTACATGAACTGAAGGTTTTGCACCTTAAACATCTCTCTCTCTCTCTCTCTCTCTCTCTCTGTGTATGTTTAAAATACTTCTCTACAAGCATCTCAGTGCCCTATTATTACACAGTTTGTAGGGCTTTGCTAGAAATATTTATAAACTCACTTGGTTTATACACTGTCATTCTTACTGTTCTTAAGTGGCTTTTGACTTCTAGTTTTGATGTAGTGTTTCTTCCTATACCCTGTATTCTGTAATACTTCCCCCTGCCACTTCTCCTTTAACCTCTTCTTCCCCTGGTGCTACTGACATCTTTGATCAGGCTGCACAGCTCTTTTGCTGAGGTTCTCTCATTTTCTACACCTGAACAGTGAAAACCCTTAGGCATCCTTCATCTTTTGGGCAGGAAAGGACTGATTTCAGGACAGAAAAATAAAAATCAAACGTTTCTTCTATAACACTTTTTATTTTTTACTTAAAAGCTACAGCAAAGTAACCGGTACATCAAAAACCACCTGAATGTTTTACTTTTAACTGTCCCTTATGTGTGTCTCAAAGCCTTTCACAATGTACATTTATATATAGAAAATTCTAGAACTTTTATAATGTACTATATTTGAAATAATACTAGAATATGGAGAGCACTTTGACACTTGAAAGCACTTGAAATATATGACTTCCAGAACTTTGCTAATTATTTTATTTAATAACATTCTGTGAAAGAACAGGCCCAGGAACATAAAAGAGGACTGAATGCTTGATGTGATAGAAGGGTGAATAATTTAAAAAATAGGTTAAAGCAGGTGTATTTGTTATCTATTGCTGTATAACAAATTACCCCCAAATTTAGCAGCTTGAAACAACAGACATTATCTCACACAGTTTCTGAGGGTTGGGAATCCAGAACGGTTGGTTTTGGTGGTTCTAGCTTAGGGTCTCTCCGGAGGTAGCAGTTATTTGAAGGTTGGACTAGGGGTGGAGGATTTGTTTCCAAGATTGACTCACTCACATGACTGTTGTCAGGGAGCTTTAGGTCCTTGCCGCATGAGCTGCCTAAGTATCTTTAAAACATAGCGGCTGGCTTTTCCCAGAGCGAATAACCCAAGAGATATCAAGGCAAAAGACACAGTGTCTTTTATTACTTAGACTTGGAAGTGACATAACATCACTTGTGCTATATTAGTCACACAGACCAACCCTGACAGTGTGAGAGGGGATTACACAAGGGCGTGTTTTCACTAGGAGGCAGGATCACTTGGGGTCATCTTGGTGGTTGGATGCCACAGCAAGGAATCATAATAAATTATACATAGAGAGTGTAGGCATTTTAATTTTAAAGGAATAACTGTATACTTTGGCTAATCTTTTGATGTAGGGTCAAGGTTTCTACTTGGAATATGGATCCACTTGGTGTTCTGAGATAACGGTTGCAGAAACTATATCTGTAAACCATTTGGGATTTTCAGTTTCCCTTACTTTTTATTATTTTTTCTTTTAATTTTATTTTTTAAATTTATCTTTATTGTTGAAAGTATTACAGATGTCCCTGCTTTTTTCCCTTACTTTTAAAGGAGAAAAATTTACTTGAAAGCAATGAGTGCTGATTCCCCTTGATTTTAATAATTTTGTACCTGCTCTAACTCTCCTTGCTTTTATACTTCTTTTTGTAATGTTTACTTGATGTAATTTCAGTCACATGCAACTGATAGATATATAATCAAGTTTGAGAAGAAAACCAACTCATTCCTGATAAATATATAAGAAATATTTATACAAATTGGCAGATCTTGGATTTCTAACAGTGTTCACAAACTTGGCGTGTTCAAAGCTGAGCTTCTGACCACACCTGCCTCAACCTCCTCCACCCAATCTTTCTCATCCCAGGAAATGACATCTTTATCCTTCCAGATCCTCAGGCCAAAAACTTATTTTCCACACACTTTATATTCATTGTTACCAAAATCCTACTAGTTCTACTTTTTTAAAAATTTACCAAGAAAAAAAAAATGTGCCTAGCATTTCTCAATGATCTGTACAGCTGTCGTCTTGGTCCAAACTCCCATTACCTGTCATCCTGCTTATTTTGGAAGCCTCCTTAACTGGTCTCCCTGATTCAGTTAGTGTATTTGCATCACATGAGCCAGAGTGAGCATGTTAAAAGTGTCAGATCATGTCACTACTTTGTTCAGAATCCACCAATGGCCAGGAGAAAGGTACCGAAAGTGTCCTCCACAGCCCTCTCCTGCCCCACTCCACTTTATTATTTCATCCTCTGCACACCCGGCTCCACCCACACAAACCTCCTTGCCCCTCCTAGAGCAAGTCAGGCTCCTCTCCCCGGCCTCTGTGCCTCTCCCTGGGCTGCTCTTCCCCACAAGTATCTCCAATATTTACATAGCTCACTGCCTCACTATCCTCAAGACTTTCACTCATATGAGACTTTCTCTAGTCACTGTATCTAAGTACAAGGTCCATCCACTCCATTCCCAGCATTTCTTGCTCTGGTCTTGTCCATATTGTGTATCACTCAGTACTGCATAGTTTGTTTATTTGCTTAATGTCTGCCCTCTTCCACCAGAATAATGTATGTTCCATGATGGCAGGGCTTTTTATTTGCTTTGTCAGTTCTGTAGCCTCAGTTCTAGAATTGAATATTTGTTGAATGCATGATGAATTGGTGGGAGAAGAAATAGAACTTGCATGCTGTGGGTAGCTATCAGATTTATAGTTAGAATGGACAGCTTTGTTTAATCTGGCAAATCTGTTGAGAGGATATCAGTTAGCTAATCCTTTAAATTATAAAAATAAATGTGTAATTATAAATTGATAAGTACAGGAAGGAAAAGCGTGGAGTGAATTTATAACAGCAGACTGATAAATAGATTGGGGTGAAGGGAAGGCCTCTCCAAGAAAGCAACATTTAAGAAGACAGCAAAAGCTTATGTTGAAGTTAGGTAGGTAAAGAGTGGGGGGAAGAGGCTTTCATGCAGAGGGAACAGCCTGTGCAAAGATCCTGAGCCAGAATGACCACATGAAGTGCCATGAACTGAAAGTCAAGGTGATGTATTGAAGGTTGCAGGGAGCAATCAAGATCACCCAGGCCACCTATCACTATCTATATTAGACTAAGCTTAAATAGCTGTTTAATTACCAATCTAGAATTTAATTGAAGAAGGAATGGCTTACACACAAGAATTTTCATTCTGAGCAAATAGTGAATGGGGACAGGGTGGAGAAGAAAAGTTATAGTTAAGAGTAGGAGGTTTTTTTCAACATCCTTGAAAATATAACAGGAACACTATTGTCTGGTCAGGTCTAGAAGATGGAAGTGGTTGTCCCTGGTTTGTCTGTGTGGATGCTAGTTCAATTTTTAAATTACTTTATTGTTTGTTTATATTCACTTTCTGCATGCAGTGAAGAATTGAAAATCTCTCCCACCAGAATAATGCCCTCTGGATGAACATTTCAGGTTTTCATATGGGTTGCTTGATGGGTATAACTGATAGGCTTATTGTAGTCCAGGTTGAAAAAGTCTGTGGGTGCCCTAGCTGGTTTGGCTCAGCGGTTAGAATGTCGGCCTGTGGTCCAGAGAGACCCGGGTTCGGTTCCTGCTAAGGGCACATACCTCAGTTGCAGTTTATCCCTGGCTCTGGTTGGGTGGTGCAGGTGGCAGCCACCCGATGTGTCCTTTTCACATTGATGTTTCTCTCTCTCTCTCCCTCCTACTCTATCTGAACAAAAAATGGAAATAGTGTCCTCGGTGAGGATTTAAAAAAAAAAAAAAAAAAAAAAGTCTGTGGGTGCTAATATTCCCAGATGCCTTTATGTAGGTTTAGAAAGACCAGATATGGTTTGCTTTCAATTAAAGAAAGGTGTCAGATTATGTCATTATTTCCTTTTATTCTTCCTCACCCGGCCCCTCCTCCTCCTCTTCCACTTTTCTCTATGGCCCACTCTCTGGAGTTAAAGACCGGAGCTAAGAAAAGGTGAGCAACGGACAGATCAAGTGGTCCCTGGACTGCTGCCCTATGCTCCCAGCAATAAAAGAAACCTTGGCGCGGTCAACCTTTAGAAACCTGGACTGGTCAAGTAGCTGAGAGAAAGGGGCCCAAGGCAAGCCGGCCGTGGGTAGCGGGGAGCCAGCTCAGCCTATTTATCCATTCATTTCCAGTATCTCCTCCTTCCCTTAGGGGAGGCAGCCTCCCTTCCCCGGCCCAGGCGGTGGAGGCAGACCCAAGGTGAAAGGGTCAGTTTAGAGACCCAGAACCGGGCGACAGACAGGTTCTGGCGGAAAGTTGGCAGCCACCGCCCCCTCGCCTGCCTTCCTCCTCGACTCTCCACCCCTCTCCAGGCGATACGGCGGAGGTGGGGGGGTTGGTGGGGACTGGCCTTGTGTTTTGGAACAGCTGCAGCCGGCGCTGGGCCCGCCTGGAATGCGGGAACAGGCTGCGCACCAGGACTTTTATGGAAACTTGCTGCTGGAGACGGCGGCGGCGACAGCCAGAGGGCTCCCAGCGGCGGGAGCAGCGGCGGAGGCGGAGGCGCCCAGACCCCTGCCCACATCCAGGCGCAGGACGCGCACAGCCTCTCCACGCGCCACGAGGGCATTCACTGGTCGCGCGCTCCAGGAGGGTGAGAGGAGTCGCGGGGGGAGCAGGGGGGCAGGGGTGGCGGAGGTGTCGGGGGTGCAAGGAGACGCTCGCCGCGCCGCGGCTCCTGGCCCGGCTCCGACCCGGCTCCGGAGCGCACGGAGCTCGCTCCAGCTGTGGCTGCGCGCAGGTCCGCGGCCCGGCCGAGTGCAGAGCGGGGTCAGCCTCACTGTCTCCGCGTCAGCCGCCTCCGCTCCGGTGGCGATTCCCTTGCCCCGCTGCCCGGCTTCAGCTCCGCGGGCACCCTGTTGGCTGAGTTTCGAGTGCTTTCTCTACTCCTGCAGGGGAAGAGCCCGCCGTGAGCGCAGTGGGGGCCGGTCCCTGTGCTCCACCCTTGGGGTCCAGGCAGGTAAAGTTCAGTGTCGTCCCCCACCACGTGCCCCAGGCGCCGTCTCCATCCCCGCCAGCTGTGCGTGTAATTTTAAGAGATCATTTCTGATTCCTGGCGGAGGCTGGGGAGTGAAGTGTGATTTAACAGCCTTAATAGCTTCGTCCAAGCTATTCTTTTTCGGATTCTGTCCGAGGTGGGATGTTGGGGGTTGTGCAAGTAGAACTGGAAGTTGGAGTTAAATCGTGTAGTTACATCTTGAAACCTCCCTTCCCTATATTTTTTGAAAACGCTAAGCCATTCCAGTTGTGTGAACTGTGAAACGCTCTACAAATGCTGGAAATGTATTATTATTGGCATTTGTAAAGAAAATAACAATTTGAGAGGTGAGTTGATTATTGCAATGGCTTCGAGATCTTCATTTTATATTTATTAAAGGTTCCTAACGTGAACAAAGAGAGTTGGGGGGTGGGGTGGGGAGAGAATGAGAACAAGGTAAAAATAGCATAAGGCTGTGTCCTAACAAAATGTCTGTCCTTGGAAAGAGGCAGGTAGAGAACAGAAGTAAGCCATCATAAGAAAGAAATTAGTTACATGAGAAAAGCAATGGGAGCATCATCTATCAACTAAATTTTGTTAATGAATTCAAGTAACCGGCCCATTGGCCTGCGAGTCACAACATAACTATGTGTTGGGTAGTGTGTTTAAATAAACTTAAGTATTTATACCATCTTAGTCACACACAACATTGAGTGAACCACACTTATTTTCCCCTCTAATCCTTTTACAGGTTAAATTACTTCCTTAAAAAAAAACAAAAAACAACCCTCAGAATACACATAAGTCTCTGAAATTCTGTTGAGTTTTGAGGTATGGTAAGGTGGAAAAATTAATCACATTTAGGGTCACGGTTTTTTTTGGGAAGTATATTTAGTAGAAATGAACTTCGATTATTTAATGTAGTTAGTTGAGATTCTTCCTCATAGGTATTGGGCCCCTATTTTTTAAGATATTTTATATTTTGACTGGAATAATTTAAAGAAAAATATGTGCAATTCTGTAATTTATCTGCAACAACTCCCTTAAAGAGCCCTAAGTAAAACCCACGGAAAAATTTGTTTAAATCCAGTTTCCCTCAATACAATATTGTCATTCAGTTTTGGTTTGTTTTAAATATCTTTTTTTTTTTATCCTCACTCTAGGACATTTTTGCATCTATCTTCAGATAGAGTGGGAGGGAGAGAGGGGGAAAGAGAGAGAGAGAAACATCAATGTGAGAGAGACACATGTACTGGTTGCCACCCACACAATCCCAACCCCAGGCGGGGATAAACCGCAGCTGAGGTCCGTTCTCTTAGCAGGAACCGATCTCGGGATTCTCTGGTCCGCAGGCCGATGCTCTAACCGCTGAGCCAAACCGGCCAGAGCTAAAATATCTTTTCTTTATTAATTTTAAAGAGAGAGGAAGGGAGAAGGAGAGAGAAAGAGGAACATCTATGAGAGAGAACATCGATTTGCTGCTTCCTGCATGCCCCCCACTGGGGATTTGGCCCACAACCTGGGCATGTGCCCTGACTGGGAATTGAACAGGCAATCCCTTGGTGCATGGGTTGACACTCAACCAGTGAGTCACACCAGCGGGACGTCATTCAATTTTAATAGAAGATTCATGCTTTTAAATTCATTTAAAACTGAAATGTGGTGAATAGCAATTTTCCCTGTTCCCCTTACAATGGAATCTGTGCTATTTCTGAAAATCTGATATGTAAGACTGATCATTATCAAAATGTATGTCATCTTGAGATGACTGTATTTAGTATCACAAAGGAATGTATTGTCTAGGTTTTTGAACAGTGTTTTCCCCTGAAATTACACTTTAAGTATTTAGGTTAGGGTTTTATTCGTGAACAAAATGAAAACTAAACATATGTATGTATGTATGTATATGTATGTGTGTGTGTGTGTGTATATATATACATATATATATATAAAATTAATTGGGGATTTATTTCTTAGAACCCAAGTGGCTGGGAATGACATGCTCCATTTAGAAAAGAAAAGTGTACTGTTATATTTGAAACACCCTAAAGGCAAATAAAAGTATTGTTTAAGTAAAAATACATGCCTAAAAGAAAGAAAACAGCACAGTAAATGTAGAAAAGTACGTAACAGATGGGTGATGTCTAAAAGTTTATACAGAAGAGAGGACTCAGTATATTTTATAGTATGTAGGACACACACACACACACACACACACACACACAACATCATGGTAGGCTTCAATTTAGAGGGAAAGTGACCTACAACATTCTTAACAATTTCACATATTTCTGTTCTTATTTAATCTACATCACCTGTGTAGTTTCTTTCATGTTCTCATTCTTCTATTTTTATAATTGCAAAACTACATATTACATACACTTGGAATTGCTGTATTTTCTTTTTCTATTTAGTCAGGACATACTTTGGCTTAATTTAGAGTAATATACTTTCTACACTCTAGGATGGGTGGGTGTTAACCCAAAAATCCAACTTATTTACGTTTCAGTCAAATTTGTTTTTTTATTATAAAATTAATACAACCATACTGTATTTATGGATAAAAATTATGGAGAATGGAAAGGGGATTATCAAAGCAACACACCTACTGTTAGGATTTGATTATAGTTCCCTTTTTTCTCTATGAGCACAATTTTTTTTCTTGCATAGCCGTATGTGAAAGCATCTGAGGCAGTATCTTTCATCCAGTAAGTGTTCAGTAGCTGGTTCTTGGGTCTCTCTGGACCGCAGGCCGACGCTCTAACCGCTGAGCCAAACTGGCCAGGGCCAGTAGCTGGTTCTTTTCCTCTCCCCTTCACCCCCATGTTTTCCTTGTTATCTCTTCCTTTTTGCTCTCAGATTAAAAGACAGGTAGATTGGGGCTCCCTAGGTCAGGTTTTGAGGTTGATGAGGTTGACTTGCACCTTCTTTTCTGTGCCCTTTTCCTGTCCCTTTCTCCCCTTTGACTCTGCCTCCCTCTTTCTGGCCAAAATAGACCTTTCCTTTGTCTCCATTTCCTGTTTGTTTAGATCAGGGGCCACAAAGGGGCAGCCCAAAAGCCACTTTCAGCCACAGACATGCTTAAAATTTGGTTCATTTCATATTAAAATATGGATTCCTGGTCTCTCTTGAAAAACAAAGAGGTTGTCAGAACAGGGTCCACATTTCTGCATAGCCACAATACCCGGGAACCCGGCTGAGACAGGGCGACACTCTCTTCACACAGACTCCTCCATTCCTTTTGTTTTACCTCTAGTCATCACTCATTTACATTACCTACCAACTGCACTACATAACATCAACTTACATGACCCGACCCTAGACATTTGAGTACAAAAGTTCCTGGTCTAAGTATTAGGGTAAGTCTGAAGTCATGATATGAAGGAAAGTCTGCTGAACTTGGTATTAGGAACCTGGACTTTAAATGTCATAGATACATTTAGGTTACCAATCTTTCTCCTAGACAACATGATTATAGAACTAGGAAGATGTTAACATTCATTGACACTAATTGCTAGTGTCAGTTTCAGTTGGAAGGGACCATGTATTGCTAACTAAAACAAAACATTGTAGCTGGTGAGATTTTAGAAAGCATGGAGGAGATATTTCTGGGAGAGAAATCTTTCCTAGAAACTCTTAAATAATCCTACTCCCGCCCTATCCTAGAAATGTTTAAGAGAGTTCAACCCCCGGAGGTTTTGCGTAAAGAAGATTCAGCTGCTATTCTGACTCCCCACCCCACCCATTCCCAGCCATGTCCTTCACTGAAAGGCTGTCTTTTACTTGCAGAGAGGACAAGGAGGCCCGCTCTCCTCCATGGGTTATCTCATCTGTTTGCTTGGGAAACCAACTTCCTGAAGCCCAGGCTTTATGGTTTTTCATGATGTCTAGTTTAATGTATTCTCACTCCGTTTTATTTTATTTTCTACTATTTCATTCATTCATTCATGTATCCTCATCATAAGCTCTCCTGTTGGAGATATCAACCATAAGTTTTATTTGGGTTCATTTTGGATCGGTTGTCCTGTTATTTGTCATCCATCCACTTGCTCAAATACAAGTTGAGTTTGTACTGTGACCTAGTTGTCTGAGACACTAAGGATAAAGAACAGAGCAGAGCAGTTTTGACCTTTCAGGAGCTCACAGTATGGTAATGCTCTTTGAAAAATATCTCAGCACGGCTGGTGTGGCTCAGTGGTTGAGCATCAGTCCATGCACCAAGAGGTCACTGGTTTGATTCTTGGTCAGGGCGCATGCCCAGGTTGTGAACCCAATCCCCAGTGGGGGGCATGCAGGAGGCAGCCAGTCAATGTTCTCTCTTATCGAGGTTTCTATCTGTCTCTCCTTCTCTCTTCCTCTCTCTCTAAAATCAATAAAGAAAAAAATATTTTTTAAAAATTAAAAAAAAGAAAAATATCACATGCATTCATATGAATGCAAAGTATTATATATTGTTAATATATGATTATTAATACAGAAGACTGTCCAGGCAGGTTGAAAATTGGTTATCAGTAAGAAATTGTGTATTGGTACAGAAAAAAATCTCACTAAGTCAAATAGGTAAAATAAGATCTAATTTCATTTTTTTTTTTTACTGTATTGTGCTAGCTGAAGTT